CATCATAAGAGAGTTTCTTAACAAAAATACATGATTCTATCAAGTCTTTTTCCATAAAGCATTTAACATAGGATGGAGCTTCAACAAAAATCTTCATTCCTTCCCTTTCCTCCTTTGTCTTCTTTGCCATATGGTGAGCTACATTATTCCCCTGCCTGAATGTGTGCCGGAGGATTATTCCCTTCTGTTGGTGCATTAACCACCTGCATGCATAAACAATATCATAATAGAGCACATTTCCTTGAAGAATCGCTTGTATGGCCTCCACTGAGTCTGATTCTATTTCCAGCGGGTATAGATTCCATTGTTCGGCCATTTTGAGACCTTCCAGTATGGCTTTTAGCTCAGCCTCCAGTGATCCACCTGCATATGTGGATTTGCCAAAACCTACAATCCAGTGACCTCTAGAATTTCTAAAAATGCCCCCTAAACCACTTTTTTGTGCGACAGTGTTATGGCTTGCATCTGTGTTAAGCTTTGTCCAGCCTTGTTGAGGCTTGTGCAATGCAACCTTAATAGTAATTTTGGGGGGGGGGGGGGAGAGGGTGAAGATGTTTTTTTCAGTGAGAAATTTATATTCAGTAGCCTTCTTAAAGATAAAATCAACATTAATTGATGAGCAGGTATTGTTTTGATTGTTATTATTCCTGTTTGTCCATGTGTACCAAACTATGAAAGGCAGTAGAGTGTCCCAATTTATGAGACTGTTAGGAATTGTATAGTTAAAGTTTTTTAGTTGTATTAGCCAGTGATCAGCTGAGTCTTTGTAGTGATGATGCAGTCCAATCCTATCCCAAAAGGGTTTGACAGCCTTGCAATGTATGAAAATATGAGTAATCGAATCTTCCTCATTGTTTCTACACACTGGACACATTGGATCTATGTTCAACCCAATTCTGGTTAGGTATTGTCTACAAGAAATCCTGTTATGAAGGCATTGCCAGAAGAATATTTNAAGGCATTGCCAGAAGAAATATTTTATTTTGTTTGGACAATGTAGCTTCCAGAACCATTGGAAATCATTATTAGTACTATTGGAAGATTCAAGGAGATTGAAATAAGTTTTTGTAGTAAAAAAGCCTTTGGTAGTTAGTAACCATATTGGGATAGCACTCTTTGGTCCCTCTCTCCGGATTCTAACTTTTTCCATAACATCCTTAATGTGGTTTGGGATGTCAAGGGAAAGTTTGTCAAAATTCTATTTATTTCCATCTAGTAAATTTTTAATATTAATAGCATGTTAATGTTTTTGTAAAGGGCCTTCCACAGTTGCTCTAAGGTTTCCTACCCCGGGGATCTAATTATTTTCCCAAATATTAATGTTGGAGAGGATGTGGGGTGACCAAGTGATTCCCTTACTACATAACTCCCAACCCTTTTTGATGCTTTTCCAAATAAAAGAGTTTTTATTGGAGGCATTAGTAGAAGCATAGGTGGAGATTATAAGGGTGGCCCAAGGAGATGTGGGTTTTGTAAGCATTCTCCAAACCATTCTAGCCAATATGCAAAGGTTCTTTGAATTGGCACTATGTATTCCTAGACCCCCACTAGATTTAGGTTGGCATATGGTAGACCAATTTATTAGGTGTAATTTTTTCTTTTCATTGTTAGTTCCCCAGATGAAGTCTCTTTGCACCTTGTCAATATTTTTTAGGATCTTTTTTGGGAGTAAGGTATATTGCATATAGTGGTTAGGAATTGAATTTAGGCACGAGTGTGCCAGGGTGGTTCTGCCAGCAATATTTAGAAATTTCATCTTCCAAGCGGCAAGCTGGGATCTCATCTTATCAATTATAAATTGATAATCCCTTGGTCTAGGGCTGTTATTTAATATAGGGAATCCTAAGTAGGTGCCAAAAGATTCACTTTTCGTAATACCTAGTATTTTAGTAATATCAATTATGTCTTGTTCAGGGCAGTTTTTTGAAAACAAAATTTTGGATTTGGTTAGATTAATCTTTTGTCCAGAAATTTTACTAAAATAGTCAAGGCCCTCTTTAATGGAATAAGACGATTTCTTATTTGCTTTAGCCATCAAAGTCAGGTCGTCCGCAAAGAATTTGGAAAAGTTTTGGACTTTTTCTACTAGTAGTTATTTGGATCCCATTTCATTAAGTCCACTTGATAATGAATATACGTGGAAAGCATTTCAAGACAAAGTATAAAGATGTATGGTGAGATGGGATCCCCTTGTCTAATACCCCTAGTAGGCTCAAAAGAGTTAGTGACTGAGCCATTGACTAGGACTGAGATAGAGCTAGTAGTAATACAATTTAAAAGGAGCTTTGAGAATTTGGAAGGAATTTGAAGTATTGAAGGGTGTAGTGAATGAAAGACCATTCAATACTATCAAATGCTTTTTCAATCAATTTTTAGCAACTATGTGACCTTGTTTACCTTTCAATTTTCCTTAAATTAGGAGTACAATTGTCTTGGGTATATAACGTAGTCATTATACGTAGGTCTCTTCTATCTTTTCACAAAGTCTAGCTTTGATAGGGGTTAATTGAGGTTAACTTTAGAAAAGGGTCTTTAAACCTTAATTTTAGCTTAGTAATCTTTGTTCGAACTTATCTTATACATTGTATTACGTATTAAACCAATTAAGGTCTAAATTTATAATGTTATTAGTCATTAGAATTTTTGAAGTTATAACGTCATAAGTAGGTTTTAGTTGATTAATATGAGGTAATTAAACGTT